ATTTTCTGCTTCCAAATGTAGTCTAATACGTCATCGCACCTCCGCCATGAGGACGGCCTTGTGCGAGCGCTGTCGTTGAGAACGAAGCGGCCCGAGTGTTCTGTTGCCTTCAAGACATATTTCCTGAGCTGAGGTAGCTCGTTCCCTTGGTGAGGGCGGTCGTGTTTGTCATGGCCGGGTCGTGCATGTACGTCTGGGCGACGTCCGTCGGACTACGGTCCGTTTAGCAGGTCTTTGGATCGGCTTCAAATCGTCCTCCTTGACGCCGCTCGCGATGTTGGTACGGGCGAGGTCGAGTGTATCGGTCATGGTTTTGAAGAGGGAAGTCGTGCGTCCCGCCTCGAGCTGCAGATCTCCCGGCCGGTCACATTCGTGTACGTGTCCCGCTGATACGCAAGGTACTGTCCAGTTGTGGGCAACCAGTGGCTCTGAATGCGCATGCCGAGGATCGAATCTGACTCAAAGCGCACGGGGTTGGTGCCGCCGACCGTCGGGAGGAAGCTGAGGAGTGCCAGGAGGATCCAGAGGGCGCCGACGGTGCCGATTCCGCCGCAGAGAGTGGCGTCGAGTAACAACGAGCGGAGAAAGGTATCCTCCTGCAACAACTCGCCCCTCACCCGCGCTCTCCACCCAGCGCGCTCTCTCCATCCGCTCTCACCCCGCCGCCGCCGCCGCAACACCGCCTCACAGCCCTCATCGGGAGAGAGATTTTTAGCAATACTTTGTTTTTTCTCGTCGGGTGCGCAGGGAGACCAAGTGATCAAGGTTGCTTGCAGCTGACAACGCCAACGGCATGGACAGGGAAGACTGGGAACGCTGCGCTGGCATGCGAGATGCGATAACACGCGTAAAGGACGCGCTCAACGAGAAAAATGACTTGCCGGAGGCACTCAAGATTGCTTTGACGCAAGGCCCCGAGGAGGCAGTCGCTCGCTACAAGGAAAAGCTGACCAATCTTGCTGTCGTCTGTGCCTTATTCATCGTTGCGGGTACTGCAGCTGTCATTGCGCCGCCGGAATATATCGACATCGATGGAGATTATTGGGAAGTGACGGACGTGTGGTCGATCGTCATTTTCACCCTTCTCACCATCTCGATATGCTGCTTCTTCCTGAACATCGCCTTCTTCGCGCACTGTATGAACTGGTGGCCGCGGATGCTACAGCGCGACGCAGACGTTCTCCTTTTCTTCCTTCGCTACGAGCGATTTGAGTCGCAGGTGGAAATGTTTTGCGTGCAACCGATGATTTGGGGCCTCGTCAGTTTCTTCTTTGCGCTCGGAACGATGCTCTGTCACATGTTCCCTGTCTTCATCTTCCTTCCGGTCTTGACGATTGGCCTTGCGCCGTCTATCTGGCTCGTTTCTTGGCACGAACTCGGTGGCGTAGGCCAGCGCGGCTGGAATGCTTTCCACACCCAAGTTACGAACCAAGCACGGCTGGAGAAGCTAAAATGCCTTGTCGAAGTGTATGAAGCTCGCGCCAACCGTGACCCAGAAACTGAATTATCCGAGACGGCCTCGCCGAAGCCGTATAGTGAGCCACTCACTCGGGCGTCTCGGCTGACGTTGAGTTGATCGATCAGCGTTGATCTCCCTAGCCTATCGGTCACCGGTCTTGAGACGCATGTTGCGCGAGCACTGTTCACATAAACGCACAACCCCAGGCCTGAAATCGCTCAGAGACAGTCGACGCAACACGGGGTCCCAGGGAAGGCGAGCAAAAACACCTTATCGCGCGCGCTAGACGCCGACTCGGAGGCCGCACCGGTCAGGCGCGCAGCCGGAGAGAGCACTGTTCACACCCCACCCCTTGGATCACGTCACACCAATCCTACCTAGGTAGTCGCCCGTGAACGGCGCTGTACGAGGCGTAGCAGGTCGGCCAGTTCGCTATGCTGCGCGGCGATGCGCGCCCGCTCGCGTCCCCGCGGCGACCGCGTCCTCCTCGCCGCCGCTCTCCTCGCCGCCGCCCTCCTCGCCGCCGCTCTCCTCGCCCTCGGTGGAGGCCGCCGCATTCGTGCCGTCGGCTGGCGTCGGCATAGGGGAATCCATCTCGCGACTGTAGGCAGCGGCCTGTCGAGGGTAGTGTGCACACCTGCAAGGCACCGCGCCGAGCTAACACAGGTACACCGAACCCAGCTTGAGAGACAGGGAGCTCCGACGTTCGGGGCCTTCTCCTCGGTAGACCTCAAGCGGTCAAAGTGGAGCCCACAATCCACGACGCCGAGGGCGGGAGCGTTGCGCCACTCGTCGCATGGTCCTCGAGCGCCTCCTCAAACGTGCTCCGGAAAATCCACTCGAACGCAGCCAGCATCTGCGGGACCATCACCTGGTCCGCCTTGCCTGTGAAGCGCGCCTTCTCGATCGCGCAGCACGCCTCGTCCAGCACCTTCTTTGGCGGCAGGGAGCACTCGCGCGCCACCGGCGCCTCCCCTCCGATGTCATACACCTTTGCGCGGCTCGCCTGCGCGCGTCGGAAGCGCTCCGGCAGCGCCTTGCCCTCCTCCCCCGCCTGCCTCTCCGCCGCCGTCAGGTGCGCCAGCACCGTCATTGCGGTCCCCTGCTCAAAGATGCACCAGCCTCGCCCGCCCTCGCCCTCGTACGGCGTTGGGTTGTACTCTCCCGGTCCGAACCCGGTGATCGCGCCTGGCGGGAGGTCGATGTTGCGCTGCTGGATGACGGAGGTGCCCGTGACGCTGGCGTAGAAGTTCCCCATCACTTTGAGGCCTCGCCCAAATATGGCCTTCTCCTCATCGGTCTTCTCCTCCCCGTTTGGGCCCTTTTGCGGAAGGCTGCAAAAGTCCCAGAAGAGCCCGGTATCACTGGCCGCCGCGTCGGCATCGAGGAAGCGGCGGACAGCGGCAAGAGTAGTACCGCGAGGGTCCGGGTGAAGCGCTGTCAGCCAGCCGTAAGAGAGCGCTAGGATAGACCGGTCGCCTCGCTCGAGCATCGCCACCGCCTCCTCGCAAGTTAGAAACGCTTCTGCCGGCATGTCTTGCTGCCTCTTCATGATGACGGCGCCAGAGGCGTCACGGCCGAGGAAATCGTCGGAGGCGGGCGACGCCAGCCAGCTGCAGCGAAGCAGCCGCACCGAGCCGTCGCGCAGCCGATCTGCGAGCGAGCCGTCGATCTTGGAGTCGGCGGCGCTGAGGACGGCGGAGAGGTCGACGTCAGCGAGCGCGCGCCGCATCCGCCGCAGCTCCCGGATCGAGTACACGGCGCCGACGATGAGGCTGCCGAGGAACACGATCGCCATGAGCACCTCGACGCTCACTCGCGCAGCGGCAGGGTGGGCGGGGAGCGCGGTGTAAACCATGGCGAGGGCGAGGAAGAGAGCGGTTGCCCCGTAAAGGCACGACTCGAGTGAATTCTGGAAGCGGAAGGCGAAGGGCAGTGCGCGGCGGTGGAGGCGCCAAAAGACGAGCGTGACGGCGATCGCGACGGCGGCGATGGCGTAGCGGCCGGCGTTGAATGTCGTCTCTGTGGTCGCAGCAAAAAGGACGTTGCTGGTGAAGGCGAGGAGGAGGAGAATGAACTGCCGAAGCCAGATGACGACCTGCCAGCGGGGAGCGTGGCGAGCGAAGCGGCCGACGAGGTAGGCAACTTGCCGCTCGAGCCGGCGGGGAGGGATGGGGCCCGTGCCGCAGCAAGCAGCGCGCGAGTTGCAAGCAAAAAACGTGGGGTGTCGCCACACGCCACTTTTGACGCCGCGCTTGAAGGCGCGGACGTTGCCGGAGAAATGGACCAAGAGGACCAGCAGCAGCGCACCCAGCACCGGCACCGTGAAGACCGGCGCTCCACTAGCATAACTTGCGACTAGCATAGTGGCGCGGTCGAAATAGCCAACCGCGTAGGCCACGTACTCTAGCACGACGCTCCATGCAAACGTGAAGAACAGCGAGTAGATCAGACTCAGCACGAGCTCCGCCGTGTCGGCGATGCTTGCCGGCTTGCCATGGCAGCAGAGAGCGAAGTACTTGACAAGTAGTGGCGCGAGCAGCGAAAGGAGCATGGCCAAGGAAGCGTAGAACGCATACGCCTCAAACACTGCAACCTCCGGGTATGCATACGTTCGCGTATACGAGAGCAGGGAGCGACGCCGCCCGCCCGCTCGCTCCGCGCTCATGCCCCCAACAAGGCAGCTGGCGCTGGGCAGCATGAGCAGGTCGAGCTTGAGTGCAGAAGCGATCGTGAGCAGGGAGCGAGGCCACTCGAGACGCATGCTTGCGATGATGCTGGCCGTCTGGGCGTGATTGAAGAGGATGGCGGCGGAGGAGACCCACCGCTTGAGGGCCCAGGGGTTGCGGACGACGAGGCGGACGAAGGCGGCGAGGGCGATGATGCCGACGAGAATGCAGACGCCGACGGCAATGAGGCTTGCAGTCTGGTCTTCGCAGACCACGCACTCGTTGGGGTCGGTGACAGATAGCTGCTGCGCGTCGGCAAACGCGCTGCAGCCCCTGGGAGGGACGCCGAGGCATTCGGCACTTCCTGCGCCGCGGCAGATGCGAGTGGCTAGATCGTACTCGACGCGGGCCTCGCTGCTGCGCGGGTACTCGAGTTCGTTGTCGCGCAGGTCGAGGGTCAGCAGCGAGTCGAGGTCGCCCAGCGCCGCTGGGATTGAGCCCGTGAGGCCGCGGCCCGAGAGGACGAGAGAGAAGCCCGTGTATGTGCCGTCGCACACCGTGGGCGCGTTGCCGCAGATGTCTCGCGTAGGCGGCAGCGAGGGCGGCGGCGAGGGTGGCGGCGAGGGCGGCGGGGGCGGCGAGGGCGGCGGCGAGGGCGGCAGGGGCGGCGAGGGCGGCGAGGGCGGCGGCGAGGGCGGCAGGGGCGGCGAGGGCGGCGAGGGCGGCGGCGAGGGCGGCGAGGGCGGCGGGTAGTTGCACTCCGGAGGGAAGCGCGAGCCCGAGGTGCAGACATTGGGAAGGGCGGGCAGGGGGCAGGCAAGGTGGTTGGTGCCGCCCAGCTCGCAGTACGTCAGCGGCAGGTTGTTGAGCTGCGACGGCACGGTGCCGGAGATGTCATTGTCAGACAGGTCAAGATACTTCAGCTTGCTTGTCTGTTCTGGAGGGATGATGCCCGAGATGGCGTTGCTGCCCAGCCCCAGGTGCTCCAGCTGCGAGAGCTTGCTCGTCTCCGGAGGGATGGTGCCCGAGATGGAGTTGCGGCCCAGGTAAAGCCCACCCAGCTGCGAGAGCTTGCTGGTCTCCGCAGGGATGGTGCCCGAGATGGAGTTGCTGTACAGACTAAGGTACACCAGCTGCGAGATGTCGCCCAGCTGCGGAGGGATCGTCCCCGACAGCCCTTGGTTGTACAGATACACCACGGTGCCCGTGAAGGTGCCGTCGCACAGCGACGTGCCGTACACGCCGGTAGGGCATCCCCCGTTTGAGCAGTACATGCTGTTGTCGCAGACAGTGCCCGCGGCCTCGCAGCGATCCGCCAGCAGGAGGAGCGCGAGCGGGACGAGGCGCGGCGCCGAGGAGGAGCAAACCGCCGCCAGCAGTGCAAGAGCGAGTGAGTTTGCCAAAGTCATGGCGGGCGATCGTGCAAGCCGAGCTCGCGAGGGGCTGTGCTTTGCTGCGGGGCGCAATGCGAGCGCGGCCGAGAGGCGAGGAGCGAATCCCGGCGTCTTTTCCTGAACGGGGTCGGAGAATTCTTTTTGCGCACGGAGCTAAGTAAAGGGTGACAACAACATCTTGCGTATGTGAGTGTGTGACTCTTGCGTATGGGGTATTCCGCGACGGATAAGTATTCCAGGGGCAGAGCAACATACACAAATGTAAGAGATGAAAGCGTTAGCCGCCGCCACCGCACCGTGTTAAACCGTCCGTGGCACCACCCTCTCCACGCTCACCGCCACCTTTGGGCTCGCATTGGACAGGTAGCCGCATGGGGTGCGGGTACCGGCCAGCCGCGTCCGAATGCTCCCGAATCCCCCTCCACTGGCCAACAACACCGCTGGAGCTATCACACACGGGGGAAGCGGAGGGCTCAAGTAGACCTAGACGGGGGGTTCCGCGTGGTGAATCAGACCAAGCGGTGCAAAGGACCGCCTTGCGTCATTCTCGAGTCGCTCGGCTGCAGCTGGCTGGATAGCATCGAGGCAGCCCCGCTGCCCAGCGAATGGACTTTCATGAGATCGGGCGTCGCGGAGGTGCACCTCATCCTCTGGCAGTCAACGCTCAAGATCCCCATGCTGCAGTTCGAGACGCCGCAGCCCACTACTAGTGATGGCATTGCCTCGACGCCACCGACCCAACAAGAACACCGCAGCGAGCCTGCGGATGCGCAGGTGGAGGCGAGGGCGCTGGAGAAGGTGGAGGCGAGGGCGCTGGAGAAGGCGGAGCCAGCGCGGACGGAGGCTAGTGCGGCGCAGGCGGCAGAGGAAGCCCAGGTGGCGGCGGCTACGACGGCACTGGAAGAGGCCAACGCGGCGCAGGCGGAGGCAACGGCAGTCCAGTTGGCGGCTATGACGGCGCTAGAGGAGGCCAACGCGGCGCAGGCGAAGCGAAGGCAGCCCAGTATGCGGCTATGACCGCACTGGAGGAGGCCAACGCGGCGTTGAGAGGAGCCGACTCGGCTGTTGAGAGGGAGAAGCTGGCGCTGGAGGAGATGGTGTCCGCTGCAGAGGAGAGGCGTGCTGCTACAGCCGCGGTGCAACCTTCGACTAGGGTCCCTAATCAGGCCACTGCGCTTACGCAGCCGGGTTAAGCCAGCTGACTTCAATAGCTCGCAACCGATGTGGCCACAGGCTCCCGCAGCGTCGCGTTTGGTTTTGTATGAATAAAGAGGATTCCTGTCGATGACGAGTACAAGTGACTAGTTGCAAATACGGGTGGTGTGACCATGTGACCACTTTTGATGTTTTTTTTGTCCGTGTTGCTCCCAGCGCCCTCGCCCGCGCTCCCTGAGGCCATGGCTGGTGCTACTAGTATGCTGTATGGGGGGCTACCTGGATACCGCGAGAGCGACCCAACTCGTCGACATCGTCCGATGATGGTGCCTCAAAGTCAGCCTCCGGAGGCTATCGTCGCGCGCGTCGAGCCGGCGGTGTGGCCGTGACATGTGGTTCCACCACCCCTCGCAGGCTTTGCCTCTGACCGCCACCGTTCCCAGGCTGCCTAATGGGATGGAAAGGAAGGCTGGGCGAGCGTATAGAAGCGTGCTCGACCTTGTCGTGGCAGCCTGCACGGCAGCGCTGGCAGGCGCGATGAGCGTCGTGCCACCTGACCTGACTTTTTCGAGCTCGCGCCGGCGGCGCAACGGCTTGCTTCCGCAGGGGCAGCCGCGGCCGCGGCTGCCGACCGGCGTGGCGACATGGAGCGCCGACGAGGACCGTGCCATCGACGAGGACCGTGACGGGCTGCGCTGGAAGGCTATCGCGGCAAAGCTGCAGGGCCGCTCTGACAGCTCGTGCCGCAACCGGTGGCTGAGGCAGCGGCAGAGGGAGTTGGCCGCGCTGGGCACGGAGTGCAAGACGGCGGGCCAAATTTTCGCCGAGTGGCGGCGTTTGCACCCCCCTCCGCTGTGCAAGTAGCTCGCGCTGCTTCATGGTGCAGGGGAGGAGGGTTGCATATGCTGAGAATCCACTGCTTTCAATCCATTCTCCCGAGCTGAGGTCCTGCATTCATCGCAATCACACGCAATCAACGCAATCTCAGTGGGATTGCTCGCGCGCCCACTCTCGATTGCACCTCGCCCCCGCCTTTTTTTTTCATCACGCGAAGAAGAAATCCAGCCTGGATTGGCTGCCGGAAAAGAAATCCATACTGGTACTCCGCGGTTTCTTTTTTCCATCCCCTACCTTCACACTGCTGTGAACAGGTACCGAACCCATACTGTGACCTCAGAGCACGTATGCGTTTGTCATGTATATGTGTCTATTGCTGCGCATGCAATTCTTTCTGACCTCACGCAACTGACAACCTCCTCACGCAACCGCAACTACGCATGCAATACTGACAACCTCCTCACGCAACTGCGGTGCTAACTGCTGTGAGTCATGCACACGAGCTTTTTTTACGCGTCCTCTGCGGGCGCTGCCTCTTCCGGCGCCTCCGGGCCAGTAGATTCTAACGCATCGATCGGTGGTGGGGCCTCGCTCTCTGCTGACTCAGCCGCTTCTGCCGCTGGCAAAGGCGAGGCCGACTCCTCTGCGGCTGCTCGTTCTGGTTGCTCGACCATTGCCTCTGGTTGCGATTCTGCTGCTGGAGACTCTGGCGGCACTGGCTCCTCTGACGCTTCCGTAGGGGGGGATTTCTCCTCTGCCGCCGCTGCCGACGGCGGTGCTGGTGGCTCTGCGGGGCCAGATGGCGCAGGTGGCGCAGGTGGCGCTGGATCCTCCCCAGCAGCGGCGCCGCCGACGGCCATCGCGGCGGGCTCCGAGACGGGCTCTCCATGCAACTCAGCTGTAGGCGCAGGGGCCGCGCTATCTGCCCCTGGAGCCAGCTCACTCCCCCGATCTAGCTCACCAGTACCAGCTGGTTGCCCAAATTCAGCGGCAAAATATGCCCGGAGAAACGCGACACTGCTGGGAGGGCGAGGAGATTCGTCGAAGAGCGCAACGAGCGCGCGTGCGATGATATCGTTTGCCCCCGACGAGGTGAGGAACGAAGAGACCTTCTCCTTCTCTTTCTCGTCCAGAACCGTATGCTCTGGCTGCTCTTCGGCTCCATGGAGTGCGTCACGGAGGAAGGTGCCGGCCGAATCGGGTGAGAGCGGCGATTTCGGATTGACAACGGCGCGAGAGAGCGCAACAACCGCTTTCGAGAGGAGTGCACTCGCACCCGAAGTGGATGCGTACTGGGCAAACGCAGCCTTCTCCTCCGCGTCCACCATATGTTGAGGGGTTGTGCAGAGTAGCAGTGGCAGAGTGCTGTGTGCAGGGTCACCAACGCGAGGCTGTAACCGGTCCGCCGGTTGCATGCGCGCTCGGTGTGTGTGTGTGCGCGCTCGCGGGCCTTCTAGGCCCGCGGGTAGTCTCCCCCCATCCCCAGGGCCTCCAGGGCTCGCACCTCAACCTCTCACAGACCAGCGCACAACGCCATAGCGCATAGGACGCATTTTCTTCTCAATAACAAGGCTGTGTACTTGTTACGTGAAAACCCACTGACCCGGACGCCAGCACACACGGCTAGATATCATGGCGGGCCGCCTAGGCCCTGTGATCGGTCGGAGGTAGTGGTAGAGTCGGTGGTGGTGCCACACGCGGCGCGGGGGGGGCGTTTCGTGGTTGGTTGGGTGGGTGGGGTCGGGGAAGGAAGGGGGCTAGGAAGGGGGGTGGGGTCGGTCGCATTGGCGGCCGCGCGGCAGTGGCCGTGGGGGGGGCGGGAGGAGGTGGTGGCGCCGACCGCAAATGGCGGCCGTCCCGACGAGCGCCGGGCGAGATCGCGAGCCGCTGACACGGCCCAGTTGCTCCTCCGTGTCCGGGTCACCCCGTTGGGGACGGCCCGACGGAGAGGTGCTCCTCGGTGTCACCAAGCGCGATGAAGTGCCCATCAGCGCGGGAGGCGGCGCCTCCGCAGCGATTTGCGCCGGAGGGGAGGAACGGAGTGTAGCACCACTTGAACTTCCAGCACGTGGTGGGGGAGCCAAAGCGGATCAAGTCTGGGATGTGTCCACCGTGTTGGGCGCGTAGTACGTTAGCCCTTCCACTCGCCTCGGCCTTGGAGACCAGGAGACGGGGGTGCTGTCGCTTGTCGGCCAGCTGGATCGAGCCAACTGGATAGGGTGTCGCTCGTAACGCTGGTGGTGAATGTATGAGTATATGTGCTCTCAAGTCTCATAAGGCCTTCTGCTTCTCGCGCATCGCGCACGTCCCGCCCCATGAAAGTATCGACACGCGCACAGCCCCGTGGGTATGTCCGTGCGAGAGAGATTTGCCCTGCAAACTCGCTGCCCTTGGGGAGATCACGCACTCTCGACTCCGTCCCCCACCCCGCTCGCCGCGAGTGCGATCGATTCGCGAGACTGCCGTAAGCAAACGAGCGCTCGGTGTGTGAGGAATCAGTCCGCCCTTGCCTGCTCACCATCTTGCCTGCTCACCATCTTGCCTGCTGCGCAGCTTCATCTTGTCGGCCTTCGGCTTGGACACGTCCGCCCTGTTTTCCACAGACTGGGGGAGGAGCACGCTCGACGCGGCCGAGCAGGCTGCCGCTCGCACCTCCAAGTCCTTTTGAAGATCGCCGTCGCCACCAGCACCCGCGGCGGCCTCTTGAAATAGCGCCGCCGCCTCTCGAAGCTCTGCCGCTGTGCGCGGTCCTGTGGGCCAGAGCGGCGATAGGGAATGAGAGGGTGTGATTGTGACGGTTGGTGAGGGTGGTGGCGAATGTGGCGCGGTCCTGTGGGCCAGGGAGGCTTGAAGCCCGTGGCGTCGCTGGCCAGGACCGCTGCCCGCATCGTGATCGCTTGAAGACGGCCTCGTTTCGTGAGCGGATCGTCGGACGTAGCTGCCACCACCCTCGATGAGAGTCGTTTGAGAGCTTCGTCGCTCATGAACCAGCTTGGAGTCGCTCTCGGCGTTGGTGCCGAGTCCTGTGTGAGGCAATTGAACGAGGCTGCAGCAGATTCAGCCCACGGCGAGCTGTCCTCAGGATATCGCTGCATGGCAGCGTGGAACGACATTGCCGCAGTCTCGGTCTCTCCTGATCGCTCGAGGGCGCAGCCGAGGTTGAAATGCGCCACAGGCCTCCTCGGCTCGAGCTGGATGGCCTCGCGATATTTGGCCGCGGCAAGCCGGAAGGAGCGCTGGCTCGCGAGATCGTTTGCCTCCTCGAAGAGAGCGTCGAAACTGCTGGCGCCGGTGTCCATTGTTCGCGTCAAGTGCCTCTTCTGGTGATCCGGTTCCAACACTGCCTCCGCCTCACGCCTCGACCGTTTTTTTCTCTCTCGCCTTCTTTTTTGCTTGAACGGAGTCGCTTAGGCGGCTCCGGTGGTGTGCCGGTGATAGTACTAGCACGCGCCAGTTCGCACCTGTGTCGAGCCTGTGTGCTGTGAGAGAGAGTTGTCCTGTTTAAATTCTTTTTTGCTCGAATGCGGGTTCTCGCTAACAGAGATCCCCCCCCCCGCCGCCCGAGAGAGGGGACAGGGACAGTTTGGGATGGCGACAGACGAGTACCTCGCACACTCCATGTGCGACTGCGAGACAGACGTGTGACGCGAAGAGAGAGAGATTGAAACCCGTTTTCTTTCTTTGCCCTCCCGCAACCTCCGAGCACCCATCCGGCCAGCATCCGAGAACGAGCCTGCTCGCTCGCTGCTAGAGAGCCGTAGCCACATGCATGCACAGACAGACAGACATACCCCCCCCCACCCATGTCTCAGCCTCAGCTTCTCAGGGCCCCAGCCCACTAAGGCTCGCGGCGTTTGCGATCGCCACCTCGGCCGCCTCGATGGAGCGTTGCACCTCTTGCTCGGCCGCCAGGCGCGCGGTTTCTGCCATCGGAAGGAGACGCGAGGCCTTCTCCACGCGCGCCACCGCCTCCGCCAACTTTTTCTCCAACGCGGGCCGCTCCGCCTTCTTGGCACGCCGCAGCTTGGCCTCGGCCGCAAACTCCGCCTCCTCCGCGAGGATCTCCTCCTCTTTGGCGAGATCGTAGTGCACGAGCGCGCGCCCCATCTTGATCTCGGCCGCCTCGAGCTTCCCAATCGCGCCGGGGAAGGTGGCGTTCACAGGAGGGAACTTCAGGTACGCGGCCTCCGACGTGCCGAGGCGTTTTGCCAACTCTATGAAGGCCCTTATCTTGCCCGCCATACCTTCTCGGACGTCTACCACCGCGTCCTTGGCGGACTCCATTGCCACCTTCGCCTGTTCCATCCGACGCTCCGCCGCCGCGATCGCCGACCCCGTCGCTGCTCCGACTGCCGCTTCAGCCTTCTCCCACACGGCATACGCCTGCATTTCCCGAATCACAGCCGACGCCAGCTGAGACGGGAACGCGAGCAGTCCACTCACCGCTGGTTGGGCCGTGTCGTAGAGGGTAGGTGGCGGCATCGCCGGCGGCGGCAACGGCGAAGGCGGCGGCGGCGGCGGCGGGGGCGGCGGCGGCGGCGGCGACGGCGGCTCCGGCGGCCACGGCGACGGAGGCGGCAACGGTGGCGGCGGGGGTGACGGCGGCAACGGGGGGGGCGGCGGGGGAGGGAGGGGCGATGGGGGGGGGGGGGGCAATGGGGGCGGCGGCAGCGGCGGCGGCGGCGGCGGCGGCGGCGGCAACGGGGGGGAGGGAGGCCCGGGCGGCGGTGGGGACGGAGGATCGAAGAGCAGATCCCCGACAACGTCGCCGACATTTATGGCTGCTCCGGTGGTCATGTATCGAAGCCGCAGCGCGCCAAGAGTCACGCACATGGCCGCCAAAGACCACACGGCGACGAGAGTGCAGCGGCCCGCGGCCTTGTTCGGCGCCTTGCGGCCTCCGCCGCGCGTGGCGTCTTGGGGGTCACGCAGCCGCTGTGGCCGGAAGGCGCTGGTCGCCGCCGCCGCGCGCATCGCCGCAACCATCCGTCCCCTGTGGGCAGGGCGGGAACAGCAAAAGTGAAGGAGCGGAGGAGAGAGGTGCCTTCTCACTCGCCAGCTGTTGCCGTTGGCTCGCCCCGCAATCCAAATGCCCCCCCCCCTTTCGCCCCCCCCCCCCTCCCCCTCCCCCCTATACTGGAGTAGGAGAGAAACACCTCAGCCTCGCGGCGCGCGACGGGCACGCAAGCCGCCGCTTCGCCGCCGCACCAATCCGCGCCGCCGCGCGGTCCTCCAGCAGCGCCGCGTGGTCCTCGAGCAGCAACGCCTTGTCGCCGAACACTTCGAGGGCGTCACCGCCGCCAGTCGGGTGACCGACCTCGGCCGCCGACACGAACGCCTTGAGCTCGCCGGGGGAGATTGTGATGGAGCTGTAGGCATCCATCCTCCGGAGGAGCTCGTCGGCGTTGGAAAAGGTGCAGCCGGCCTAGTGCCATACCTCCAGAGTCTCGAGCCCAGTCCCGTGGTCGGTGTGGTAGAGCAGAGGCGCGGCCCGCCCCCTGCAGTAGCTTGAGGACCTCTGGCCGCCCCTCGAGGGACGCGCGCAGCCTGGAGACGGTGAGCCGGTTGTCGCCGCCCGCGTCGCCCTTCCGCGCCGCGTGGAAGAGAGTGTCCACTAAGTCCGCCCTTGCGCCGGCGTGCGAGAAGCCGCCCGAGCCGACGCAGACCTCGTCGCCCTTCGAGTCGTACCGCGTCACGCGCCCCTCTGCGCGGAAGGTCGCCCTCCCGTCGACGCCGTATTCGGCGGGCGGCTGCCCCAGCGGGATCAAGGACGGCTGCTGGCGCAACTGCGACAGCTGGCCCCGCACCTCGGCGACCGAGGCGCGGCCGTACTCGGTGCGGAAGCCCGAGATGGTGCACAGGAGGTAAGCGGGACCGCCCGGCGCGTCGGGCAGGAGTGCCTTGATGAAAGGCGCCTCCGCCCCGCCGCCCCCGCAGCCCGAGCCTCGTTCGCCGCCGGACGATGCTGGCGGCGGAGGCGGAGGAGGCGGAGGCGGACGCGGAGGCGGAGGCGGGGCAGGCGGAGGCGGAGGCGGCGCCGCACGGTTCTGAGGGGAGGCGCGCGGCGGGAGCATGGGTGACGGGTCGGCCGATCGGGGCAAGCTGAGGTCGGAATAGTCGGAGGAGGAGTCCGAGTGGCGGTGGCGTGGACTTGGGAGCGGGCTCGGAGGAGGCGCGCACGACCTTCCCACGAGGTCACCGTCAGTGGGTGCTCCCCCGCCCGCGCCCTGCAGGGTGTAGTCGAGGCGGGAGCTGTCCTCGAGCCGGCCGTGCACGCGCGCGGAACCGTCGGGCAAGAGCTGCACCTAGCAGAGGGGCAGGGCCGGAGGGGAGTCGAGGTGCGGCCGAGGTGCGGCCGAGGTGCGGCCGAGGTGCGGCCGAGGTGCGGCCGAGGAACGCGGACGGGTGAGCGAATGGCGCGAGCGAGGGAGCGGCGAGCGACGGAGCGGCGGGCGGGGTCACCTCCGAGACTGCTGCTCCGCGGTTGTCCGGCGTGCGCATGTCCGAGCAGGACGTGTCGCACATCAGGATCTCGAGCGACGGCCCGCCCTCGCTCGCCGCCTCGCTCTTGATGACGGTGGGGCAGTTGCCGTGCGGCGTGTGCCCGACCACGAGCCGGTGGATGCCGCTCGCCGCGAGGGATTGGACGAGGGAGGGCGGAGGCGGCTCGGGCATGCCGCTCTTGAGGAGGTGCCGCCCGAGCACGACCGACGGCGTGCCCGCCTCGAAGGGCTTGTCGCTCGGCGGCTTGCGCGGCCGCCCGACCGGCGGCCGCACGGTCAGCAAGAGGGGGCGCTTGCTCGCTAGCAACTCGCGCGTGAGCTCGCCCTTGCGGAGCTGGCTCACGTCGGCGCCGTTGAGCTCGAGGACGGACGACATCGGAGGGATGACCTGCTCGCAATCTCGGGTACTCTCGGGTACTCTCGGGTAATCTCGGGTACTCTCGGGTACTCTCGGGTAATCTCGGAGGGATGACCTGCTCATGCGCCTCGCCCTCGGCCGCCGCGACGACGCTGCCTCCGCCCCCCTCGGGGTCGTCTTCAAGCAAGACCCGCATCGGGCCGGCGCCTATATACAACATATGCCTGCGTGCGGCGGGCACGGCGCGAGAAGCGAGGCGGGTGGCGTCCAGCTGGGTGGCAGTCTCCCCCACTCGAGATAGACGATATGGCCGAGACATCGCCGAGACATCGCCGAGATATAGTCGAGATACCGCCGAGAGAGGAGAGGAGATTCTCGATCATATCTCGGCTGCATCTCAGCTGCATCTCGGCTAGATCTCGCCAAAGGTGAAGGTGGCCGCTGCGCGAGCCGAAGCGGCGCCCTCGCGGCCCGCGCGCCCTCCGCCCGCTGCCGCCTCGCCCTCCTCCCCCGGCCCCTCCGCCTCCCTCAGCCGGCCCCATCCCCTCTCACGCCCCCACCGCCGCACCTGCGCCCGTCCTCCCCCCCTCGGCACGCCCGGCTCGCCAGCTGGCGAGGCGCCCTCCTCCCCCGTCTCCTCCCCCGTCTCCTCCTCCAGCTCCTCCTCCGCCAGCAGGTCCAGGCCGCCGCCCCCGCGCGCCCCCGCACGGACGCCTGCCCCCAAAGCACGCTGGCGCTGATGCCCGGGCTCGCCCACCGGCCGTGTGTGCACGCCCACCGCGGGCCGCTTGAAGGGGGCGCAGAGGGGGGGGGGAGCGTGTGGTGGTGGTGGTGGTGGTGTGTGTGTGTGTGGGTGTGTGTGGTGTGTAGTTAGCTCATTACCCGGCCC